TCGTTTTTCTTCGTCGTCGTCGTTGTCGTCGTCGTCGTCGTCGTCGTCGTCGTCATTTGTCGATCGTCCGTCTTCGTCGTCGCCCGTCCGATAGACTCTCCGTCACCGCCGCCGCCGCCGCCAGTCGTTAGTTGCCATCCGTCGCAGCCGCCGCTGCCGTCGCCGTCGTCGTCGTCGTCGCCGTCGTCGCCGTCGTCGTCGTCGTCGTGGTCGTCGTCATTCGTCGTCGTCGTCGTCGTGGTCGTCGTCGTTGTCGTCGTGGTCGTCGTCATGCGTCGTCGTCGTCGGCCCCTCGTCCCGCCCCGCCCTCCTCATGTCTCTGCTACCGCTCTGGTTGCTGCTCCTCTTGGTTTGCCCTCCCGCCCCTTCTCTGTGTGCCTCTCTCCCTCTCTCTCTTTTTCTGAGTCCTCCTGCGGAGACCAGGCCTCAGGGGCGGCCCTGAAGAGGCCAGAATCGGCATCAGATGCTGCGCGGCGTGACCCCTGGTAAGGAGGAGGAGGAGGAGGAGGAGGAGCAGGAGGAGGAGGAGGAGGAGGAGGAGGAGGAGGAGGAGGAGGATAAGGAGGAGGAGGAGGAGGAGGAGGAGGAGTAGGAGGAGGAGGATCCTCCTCTTACCCATCATCTGACGGCACCTACGTTTGAGAGGTCAGGAGTTGCCCAACGGGCGCGTGACATCGATGCTTTTGCTGCTCCCCCAGAGGAGGAGCATGGAAGAAGTGCAAAAGGGACAGGAGCAGGAAGAAGAGCAAGAGGAGCCGGGGGTGAGTCCCCTGCAGGAGGGAGGAAGCATGTGGGAGGGCGAGCGGTCTCAGACCATCTCTGGGTGCGTGCCTGAAGTGGACTTCCGCGGTGAGGACTATTGTTGTTGCTGGTTGTTAGTTGCTGGCGTCCTCGCCCACGACTGGGCCGCGACCCGCCCGCGACCCACCTGCGACCCGCCCGCGACACACCCACTTTGCTTCGACGAGCACAAATCGGCACGTTTGGCGGGCTTCTTCAGAGCTTCGCAGATTGCTGCCTTGCGACCCCGCCGCCCCCTCACTCTCAACTGCTGGGGCTTGGCGTTTCCGCAGCTACAGGAGCTGTTCCTCTCCCTCCCTCGTCACTCTCCCCTCCCCCTCGTCCCTCCGCCCTCTGCCCCCTGCTCTCCTCGACCCTTTCATCATTATTAGTATTGATATTGTTGGTATTATCATAAATGTTCTAATTATCAGTAGTGCTGTAATTTTTATTGTTAATACTATTAGTACGACGACGTTTAGCATCATTGGTATTGTTATGCTGTGTCATTCGTATTCCTGTTCCTAGTATTATAGCTGTTATTCACATTAATACGGGTACGAGTATTACTTTCAATATTATCTTTCTTATAGTTATTATAAGTAGTATGGTTAGTTTTAGTAATCGCGAGATTATTGGTAGTTGTATTATTTGTAGTTTGGTTATTATTTGCACTTCTTTTTATCGTTTTCACAATACCACTACTGCGGTTCGGATTACCATTCTTAGTGTTAGTGTTGCTATGCTTAGCTGTAGTTCTAGTTTAAATATTAGAATTGGAGCACGTAGTAGTATGAATACTATTACTATTATATGATTGGCATGCTTATGTCTTGTTCTATGTGTTTGCGTTCCACCGGCCCCTGTCGGCGCAGGAAAATGGCGCCAGCCAAGCACACGAGCCCCCCGCCGATGTGAGGTGCTCGCCTCCTCTCTGGCCCCCGCCAGCGCCCAGTGCAGGTGGGGAGGAACACGCGCCTGCTTCCCGCGTCCTCCTCCCGCTCCCCCCTCCCCCCTCCCCCCAAGCTCCCGGCGTCTGTGTGTGATGATTGCTTTTCGGCTGAGTAGGCCACTTGGGGACGTCCACGCAGCTCCTTTGTCCGCGCTCCTACGCCGTGCTGCTCTGCAGTTGCTCACCCCGGGCAGGCTCCTCTGGGCGATCCTCCGGATCTGCGGATCAGCTGGGCACTAATATGGCAGCCGTTTTTACAGCAGTGGAATAGAAAACAAAAAAAACCAAAGGCTGCCTCCCCTGACCTTCCAGGGAGCTATTTTTTAACACTGGAGACCTAAAAACCTAAAAAACTGAGCGAAACTGCCTAAAACCAAGACGTAGAATAGCTCTGGGATAGGTTTTTAGGTCGGGTGCTATTTTTTGGCCCTCCTGGAAGGTCAGGGTCCTGCCTCCCGCCTCGGAGGCCTCCGGCCTCCTCGCCCGGCCCACCCTCCCGCACCGGCCCCCCCGCCCCCCGCCCCGGCGGGTGGCCTCCTCCGGGCTCCCGAGCACCTCTCGCGGAGGGGGCGAGCCAGGCCTCCGTGGCGCGTGCCTTGATCTGCCTGGCGCCGGGCTCCGCCTGCTCCGGCCGCCTGCGGCCCCCGCCTTCCCGCGCCCTGTCTCCCTGATTGAAGCTGTGCGGAGCCCGCCTATAGCTTTTGGCGGACGAGGTTCGCTCCCGCCCCCGCAGACCAAAAAGTGCCTTGATCTGCCCGTGAGAGCCGACGCAGTGGAAGAAAGACAGGGATAGAGAGAGAAAGAGAGAGAGAGAGAGACAGAGAGAGAAGCCGTGCACGTCCCAGGTGCACTGGCAGAGCGGTGAAGCAAGAGCCACTGCCGGTGGCGCAGCTATGAAGCAGCAGCGCGCGCAAGCTGCCCGCAGAGGGTCGCGCGTGAGCACCCTCGTCTCCCATGCAGCGTCCCGCGCTGGCGGCCTGAGTAAGCCACCGCGAAGTGTCGCTGCGTCGTCTCGTGTGAGACCCGTTGATTGCAAAGGCCTCGCGGCCAGCACCGCCGACCCTGAACGACGACGACGACGACGACGATTTGTTTCGTCGCTCAGACAATGTTAAGTCGGGCCCGTCCCTCTACAGGAGGAAAATTCAAAAATAGCCACAAAATATGGGGACTATTTTTACGGGGGGCGGGATATCATGGCGGGGGCCATGATATCTGATCGGACTTCCCCCCCCCTGTTTCCCTGCGATCCCGGCGTATCAACTTTTCCGAGCCGGGCGCCTTCGCCCGACTTCGAGCCACGGGACCCTCACACATCGGTCCGGCTCCAGAAATGGCGCAGAAAGGTGAGGTGCCAGGCTCCAATCTCGCAGGCCTAGAGGTTGACACCAGCACCAAGATCGGCGGTGTGCATCCACCGAGGGAAGCCGATCCCGATCTCGGCGATGGTGGTAATATTCTGGCTTCCGACGTGGCCGAAATATTACCAGCAACACCGAAATCTAGGATCATCTTCCCCCTGTGGAGGCAAGCCCCTGTGTTGGTGTCTGTGCCAATTTCGAGGCCTCCGACCAGGCTCCAGTCACGATTTTCCGCGATGCTCCATATTTTTTTCCGAGAGGTCGGACCTCGGGGCTTGCTGCCAACCCAGACTTGCGATGTCTTAGGTTTCTTTATGCGGGGCCCCCAGAAGTCCCGACCCTATATCCCGGTTCTTCGTCCCGAGTCCTCGTTTGACGGTCCCGAAGACTGGCAGGGGCCCCCAGAGGCTGACAACGACGAAGAACCTCCGCCGTGATTCTTTCACGACGCCGGGACCTCGTCTTCAGTCGGGCGTGTCCCTCTACAGGAGGAGTAGTCAAAAACAGACTCAACAAAGCAGTCCAGGACGATTCTTGAGTATTTGTTTGCATATGTTTGACTAGTATTGCAATTTCGTCTAAATTCCGCCTGTATGGGGACATGCCCGATCGAAACCTCGTCCAGGGGCATGCCTCTGGCCACGAGGCGCGACACCGGCCGGCTCAGGGCACCAAGTGTGTACACCATCGCCTCTTGGTGCGCGCGCGCCCTCCTCCTCCTCCTCCTCCTCCTCCTCCTCCTCCTCCTCCTCCTCCTCCTCCTCCTCCTCCTCCTCCTCCTCCTCCTCCTCCTCCTCCTCCTCCTCCTCCTCCTCCTCCTCCCCCTGCTGGGCGCCCTCGCGATCCGCCCGAGGCCTGGCCCGCAGGGGGCAGCGCGTGGGCATCCTCGACATGGACGTGCGCGGGCCTCGGCAGGGGCCGCAGGCTGGGGCCGCCGGCCTCTGCGCCCCGAGGGCCTCCCTGCGCCCTGGGGAAGCCGAGTCCCACTTTTTTGGGGGTCTGCCGGTCGGGAGCGGGCCCTTTCCGGTTTCCGGTCAAGAGCTACACGGGACGCGGGTAGCCCTAATTGGAAAGACGGGGCGCGGGCGGGCGGGGCCTCAGGCGTCCGGAGGGCTCAGAAAACAGGCGGTGCCGAAGATCTTGCACATGACAAGGTACGCCATGGACTGGAGCAGGGGGCGCGGTCCCACAGAAAAGAAAGCCGAGTCCCACAAGCGAGGAAGAAGATTGCTTCCAGACCCGCTTTCCCCCCCCCCCCGAGCCATGACCCAAATCGCGACCGAAGGGCTTTCGTTGTTTTTGTTCTGGCCCTGGGGTGAAGGCGGGCATGTCCCTTCACAGGAAGAATACGGTGGGGGCATTGGTTAAGGATTGGGCCCGGGAGGTTTCAGACCCTGGAGGGTTCCTTATCTGATTAGGGCGGCGGTGCTATCCATGGCCAATCCACGATTGGCTTTCCACCAGCTTCCAGATTATGGATTCCTTATCCAATGGTTCCTTATCCAATGCCCTCACCGTGTTCAAAAATAGTCAAACAAAAAAACGTCTGGGAACGATGTAGTATTATTATTATTCTTATTTTGCAAGTACTGAAATGTTATCTTGATAACTTAAGTAGCGGAGCTGGGGTCCACGGACCTTGCCCGACAGGGCTGGTGAAATCTTTTTCCACCTCAGCATGAGTTGAGCCAAAACTGGCTCTCCACAGTACAGATGCATACGCAACAGAGCATGCTCAGTCAACCTCATTCAGAGTCTCTTGAGGCCTTGGTGCCTCGGGGATTCACAATCTCACCAAGTGGGATAACGGCCTTGTATTATCCTGTATGAATCTCTGTGTTTCCTGCACTCCTCCTCGGGACCATCTGCAGCTGTAGCCAAGATAGGGCACGTCCTCTGGAAACACATCATTGACGAACAACATCAAGCGCGTGTGGATACAAACTCTCAACAAACCCATTCATGCTGTAGATTCTGTCCTGCTTGATCTCGTTAATGACCGTCATCGTGCAAGTTTCGACCACCATTGCTTTAGTGTAGGTTGAGAATGACCGATCCACCCGTCGAAACCGTAAATGATCACGTCCACTATCAATCGTCATAGCTGTGAATGTGGCCCGAAGATGCTGTCCGACGAATCTGTCGGTGTTGCTGATCTCCATCGCGTCCTTCAGGCTGTACTGAGTTGAGGCATCCCGCTGTGCTGGCTTTAAGATGTGCTGCTTGACTTTGAAGACTGCACTTGCCAAGATAACGCTCAAAAGGGTGAACATCATCATGATCATTACGTGACTGCCAAAATGGCTCACGTTGTATTTCGGGCTCATGATCTCGACTAGCTGAAACTCCTTCTCCACCAACTCAGTAGCGTCCGCACGTCCAAACTGAAGAAACGTACCAAGACCCACCAAGCATTGAGTTAGTGCTCCCATCAGCTCCAGCGCAGGCTTACCGATCTGGGCCTTCTTCTCGTTGCTCGAACCCGAAATTCCACCAACTTCACCTTTCCCAGTGAGCCAAACCTTCATCGCCGTTAGGTGCTTCATGAAATCGACCCTCGAGAGATGTTTCGTCCCAAGATCTGCGGTGTTCTCGTCGGTGTGAACTTTGCTCGTGCTGACCTTCGTCTCAGCCTTGCGCGCGACTAGGTCCTTGATCCACAGATCCTTCAACTCGATGTGCCTCATCCTGCCAACTCCCTTTTTCTCGACGTTCGTGAGAGCGCTGGAGTTGTCACTCTCCAGCGTCACTGGTACAGTCTCGTCCAAGAGCTCCTTGAGATAAGTCTGTGCTCCTCTCGCCTCAATCCCGACATGTACGAGTGCGTTAAATTCAGCTTCGGGTGATGAGAGTACTGGAGCCCCCTGAGTCTTGACGAACTGCATGATCAAAGCTCCATTGAGAAACAACTGACCACAACTTGTAGACTTCCTCCCGATAGGATCCTCTGCCCATTTAGAGTCTGCACGTCCGATAACCTTGAACTCGCCGCTGTCTGGATACATGCACGTGACCGAAGATGGGTGAGCTCGAATGAACCTGATGATGCGCGTGAGCCTCGTCTGGTCCTGCACCGTCGGTCGTGACATCCCCCTCGAACACTCCTTCGCTGCGGACTGACACTCGGGCCTCTCCAAGCACGCGAACATGTCGAGGCCGTTGACGCTCCTGAACTTGGTGGCCGCTTTGGAATCCAACTCCTCCTCGCTCTCGACCTTCTTCTCGTTCTTGATTCCTGGTATTGGGCTCGTCTTCTTATCATTGGGCTCAGAGTCGAGTAGCTTCTTGACAATAGCAGGCCACATGCGAACTTGAATACCTTCGGGGGTGCGGAGCCAGCCACGCCCAAGGTGCTTGATCTCAGGACCACCAACTGTGAGCTCGGAAACCTTGAGTAGAAAATGTGTGCCGAGCTCCTCCAACGCTTTGCTGGCTGAAACTCTGGGTCCCACCAGCGTGCCATCGTCAACATGCTTGGACATAGCAACTTGATTAGCCTTGTCTGCAAACGTACACGGGTCAGAAAGAAACCTCTTGAAAGTCATCTTAGATTCATCGCTCCGTCCTGTAGCGATGTTCTCAAAGTGGTCGTCGAAATCGATCATCGCCTCGTTAAGTCCGTAGACGGTCTTATTGAGCTTGAAAACCCAATCCGAACTATCGGGAAGATGGCAGTACTCCTTCGGAACCTCTGCGTCCACCAACTCCCGAATCGGCGCGTACAGGAACGCTCGAGATATGTCGAAAAAAAGATGGCGAAATCCTTAACGATAGCGTAGACCATGAGCAGCTTGAGTGAGAACGAAAGTGGAGTAGGGCAGCGCAGCTCATCCTTGCTCTTGTTGACCTGCATGCCGAATGGTCGCGCACAAAGCCTCGCCTTGAGCTCACCACTCCTCATCTCCAAAACCCAAGTCCACGTAAGTGCCTTAGGCCCGTGAGGGCCCCTCAACGTGAGCTCCCACACGTCGTAGTTGTCGAACCGATCTAGCTCGCACTGCTTCGCCTCCCACTCGTCGTCCTCGGTCCAGCCCATCGCGATGCTGAACTCGCTGTCGTCCTTCAGCTCCTTGCCGACCTCGCCCACGAGCCTCATCATCTCCTCCGTGCTGAAGCCCGCCACGAGCCTCTTGAGGTCGCCAGCACTCAAGCTCTCGATGGCCCCCACCAGGCCTCGATTTCCAGGTGGGCCTCCAGGGCCGCCTTCACCGAGGTCAGCGTCAGCAGCTCCTCGCTTAGCGGATGACCCTGGAGCTGGTACTCCCTGCTTGCCACGAAGCCTCTTCTCGATCTTCTGCACCTCCCGACGAACTGCTTCAACTGGATCTTGACCTTGCGCTGGCTCTGGCCCTGCTGGTATCTGTGCTTGCTGCTCGCCGTTGTTAGCCTCCGAGCTGGCCGCAGGTACGGGAACCGCGACCACCTTCGGCTGCTCGTCGCCCTTGCTGGCGATTGACTTCTCGTACTCGGCCCGACGCTGCTGGCATGTCCTGCTGTGGTGTGGTGGCCGTCCTCGTCCGTGCTGACCTTTAGCTGCATACTCACACCCAGGGCATCCCTCCGTCGGCTGCCAATTCTCGCCCTCGTAGACTCCAGCTTTAACCGGGGTCCTCCAAGGCGTCCAACGCATGGCTTTGAGCATCTCCATGTCGAAGCTCTCCTCCGTCGTCAGCTGCTTCACTGTCCTGGCCTGAACTACCCCCGTCGCCGTGCCGATGAGATGAGCATCACTCTTCGAACTGCGTCCGAGCCACAGTCCCTTGCACCAGGCCGTGCCCAGCTTGTCCTGCAGCTCCGTGTGCTCCTTGCCGATCACTGTTTCCCCGAACTCCAGCATGGGTGAAGTGTACGGCGCCAACCTGAGCTCCTCGAAAGATGTGCGACCGCTGCTCCTCCTCCGCTGGTACCTGTTGTGGCAGAATATATGATGCCGAATCATCCAAGGTATGATAGGAACATCCTCAGTGAACTTCATGTTGTAACGCTTCTCCAGAGCCAAACGCCCAGTCCTCGCAAGACCTACAACCGACTTGACTCCACTTTCAACTCCACCTTGAGAAGCGTGACTTCCTTTTGGAACTAGCCGTACTCGAAGTTGAGCTCCAGCTGCCTCTTTGCCGAGCTTCTTGATACGCTCCGAAACCACTCCATTCATGAGTGCCTCCAGTGCTGGTTCTCCATCTAACTGAACTTCCATGCTCATGTAGCCAAGCTCGTCCAGGTACTCGCTGATGGCCGCTATAGCGTAGCTCTGATTGCCTTTAGCTTCCACGACAACTCCCATGAGGTAGCCTGTCCTTCTGTCCTTGCCGACTGCCAGGGTAAGACGCCGACCTGATCCATCTTCACCAAGACTGAGAAACCCATAGTCGAATGATATAACTGGAGTAGCTGATGCGTTTGGATCTCTTGCGCGATGAGGGTCTTCTTGCCCTCGTCCCATCATGCGCTCCTGACACCAAGCTTCGAAAGGAATGTGACCTCTCCGAATGTGCGCTCTGACATGTTCTCCTGACACCTGAGCTGGTCTCTTGAGCCCGGGTGCGACGGGCGTCCCCGTCTGATCTGGAACTCCTTCTGCGACACCACGTGGACCATCACGTGGACTAGCCGCTCCACTGTCAGCCTGCACCTCCACAGGCTGCGTCTCGAAAGGCTCCTCCTTCATCTGCGCGTCGTCCTTCTCAGAGTGGTCCTCGACATCGCCGATGATGGACTCGTAGCCTGTCGGGTCCTTGAACCTCATGGGAAGAAGAAACGCATTCACCTTCCGTCGTAACTGCAAAGTCACTGTCGACTCGATCGCTTTATCTATCTCGTGCTGCACATTCTTGTTGCTTTTGAACATCTTGGCTCCGTCAGGATCAAAGTGTACCGAATAACCTGCATCATTCATCTCTGCAACTGAAAGGGCACCTCTATGAACTTCAGCTGGCGTGACGTCTAGCTTTGCAGGGATCGACGTGTTCGAATCGAAGACCTCACCCGTCAACGTCCGCTTATCCAAAGTCCGAATACCCTCACCAGTAATGGATCGCAGAGACTGACCTGGCTCGTCCGTGAGCTTGCACTTCTCCGTCATAGCCTTTGGTACACCATGAGTGTGAGCTCCACTATCTACGAGCATCTCGCATTCGTCCCCGTCAGTGTCGTCCGTAAACGCAAAAATCCAGCCCCCTTCGTCATCTGGTAGTATTGCTGCCTGTACGCGCCCAGATCCACGTACTTGTGTCTGGGACGCTGAATCTCCTGGATGGACCGTACTTGCTGAGCCCGATCCTGGAGCTGGTTGAGATCCTGGCTGAACCTCAGAAACGGATCGCTGACCTCCTCCAGGCTGATAAGCGCCGCCACCGTACTTCCTGCAGTCCGCGATCTTGTGCCCGCACTTGCCGCAGTGGGGATTCGAACACCATCCGTCGAAGAGCTTCGTCTCGCCCTTCTTGCTCTTCATCTTGTTCTTGCCGTCGCCCTTGCCACCTTTGCCGCCCGAACTCTGCCAAGCACTTCTTTGACTGCTCGACTTGCCGCCGCTGCCCTTCTGGTCCGACTTGCCGCCGAAGCCCTTGCCCTTGGAATCGCCCTTGCCGCCCTTGTCGAAAGCGTCCACGTCCATGGCGTTCGGGTCGAACTTCTTCTTGGTCGCCTTCGGGTCGCGCTGCATCATCTGCTGAGCGAAGGCCTCGCAAGTCTCCCGTAGGATCTGTTGATTCGTGAAGGTCTGCATCATCACCTGGGTCTTCAGCGGCTCGGGCGTGTTCTTCTTGATCAAGGCTTGGACAGGGGTGTCTGAGATCATATCTGAAAACTTCTCTTGATATCGGTTGATGTCCAGTAGAAACTTCGTGAGCTCCTCGACGTAGGTCTCCCACTTGCCTGAAAACTCTGTGTTCACAAGAAGCTGCAGCTGCGTCACCTTGTTGGAGCCAGTAGCCGCATCCTCGCGTAGACAAAGACGTCGCCACTGCTCCAGGCCGTTACCTGGCTCACAGTTCATCGCCAAGGTTAGCGCGCTGCCTCCAAGCAATTGTGATAGAATGTATCCCATCGTCGCTGCAAGCTGCTTGTTATCGTCGCCCATCTCTGAAAGCGTAATGACATTGCCGTGGGTAGCTGCTGTCGCGACTGCTTGTGCCAATCTCGGGTCGATGGCACCCAAGTAGCTGATCAGCTGGTATCTGAAGGTCGGGAACTCGTCGCGGTTGCCTGAGTACTTGTTCGGTCGTCCCAGCAGGCGCGTGTCCACAAGACCAGCCATCATGAGAAGAACAGAAACCAATCGCGCTACCATGCAAGTACTGAAATGTTATCTTGGTAACTTAAGTAGCGGAGCTGGGGTCCACGGACCTTGCCCGACAGGGCTGGTGAAATCCTTTTCCACCTCAGCATGAGTTGAGCCAAAACTGGATCTCCACAGTACAGATGCATACGCAACAGAGCATGCTCAGTCAACCTCACTCAGAGTCTCTTGAGGCCTTGGTGCCTCGGGGATTCACAATCTCACCAAGTGGGATAACGGCCTTGTATTATCCTGTATGAATCTCTGTGTTTCCTGCATATTTTTATTATTATTAACAGTATCATCAGTAGTGTTGTTATTGTTATTACTATTTGGGGATCTGTCGGGGTATTTTTGGAGTATTTTCATTGGTTCGTCCAAAATCCGCCTGTAGGGGGACATGCCCGACCTAACTCTTGGGGCCCTTACCAGGCTTCGGGGCCGTCAAAAAAAGTTTTGGGACGAAAAAACAGTCCGGGGGAATAGGGTCGAGGCCTCTGAGGGTCGATCGGCGGTGAGCGAGGGGGGGGGGAAGTGAGAAGGAGAAGGCCTTCTCTCGAGCAGTGGCGAAACGTCCTGGCTTTCCTATAGGCCCACCAAACAATTGTCTAAGAACCTTTTGTGGTCTGCGCGACATGTTTTTAGAACATTTCTGGCCGAGACTGCTCTATTTGAACACCTCGGGTTAATGTTCTAAGAACATTTTTTGTTATCCGAACACTTTTGGGTTCTAAGAGCATGTCGTGGTTGGCCTATGGGAATGCTGGGGCGGTCGACCCCTGCTCAATTCTCAGAAGGCGGCGGGGCTTCTCAGAAGCCCTCGCGCGTTCTGAGAAGCTTTCCGTGTCTTCGGGGAAGACTCAGAACACTTCTCAGCAAACTGGATGACTTCAGAGCCTTCTGAGGATGCCCGCCCCTTCTCACTCCCCCCCCAGGCTTGCCGCCGCCAAGTCCCTGGCATCGCTCGGACGTGTGTATTCTTTTCTCGGCTAGGACCCTTGAGAACCATCCTGGACCATCGAGCAAAAACAATTATCATGGCGAAGGACCCAACCATATGCAGTTGTGGGTACCGCAATTGTGAAAATCTTCTTCGGTGAAACTCCCTATGGGGCCACGAAACGCTGCACTGGGTGGGGGGGGGAACGCTGTTCTGGGTGAGTGGTGTGTCAAGTAAGGTTTCCGGGACGCATGCGGACGGTCTCACTGGGGGCTTCGGTGGAGCTCCCTATGGGGCCACGGAACGTTGTACGGGTAAGTGAAAATGCCAAATGGGGCTTCCGGGACGCATGCGGACGGTCCCACTGGAGGCTTCGGTGAAGCTCCCTATGAGGCCACGAAGCGCTGTACTGATGGGCGAAAATGCCAAATTGGGTTTCCGGGGCGCATGCGGACGGTCCCACTGTGGGCTTCGGTGGAGCTCACTAAGGGGCCACGAAACGCTGTATTGGGTGGGTAAAAATGCCACGTTGGGTTTTCGGGACGCATGTGGACGGTGGCACTGGGGCCTTCGGTGGAGTTCCTGACGGGGCCACGAAATTTTGGACTGGGTGGGTGAAAATGCCACAATGGGTGTTTCGGGACGCTTGCGGACGGTCCCACTGGGGCCTTCGGTGGAGCTCCCTGTGGGACCACGAATCGCTGCACTGGGTGATTGAAAATGCCACATTGGGTGTGCGGGACGCATGCGGACGGTGGCAGTGGGGCCTTCGGTGGAGCTCCCTGTGGGGCCACGAAACGCTGTAATGGGTAAGTGAAAATGCCAAATTGGGTGTTTCAGGACGCACTCGGACGGTCCCACTGGGGGCTTCGGTGGAGCTCCCTATGTGGCCACGAAACGTTGTATTGAGCGGGGGGGACACATGTGGACGGTGGCACTGGGGCCTTCGGTGGAGCTCCCTAGGGGGCCACGAAACGCTGTACTGAGTGTAGGGGGGACGCATGTGGACGGTGGCACTGGGGCCTTCGGTGGAGCTCCCTATTGGGCCACGAAGCGCTGTACAGAGTGGGGGGGACGCATGTGGACGCTAGCACTGGGGCCTTCGGTGGAGCTCCCTATGGGGCCACGAAACGCTGTACTGAGTGGGCGGGGACGCATGTGGACGGTGGTACTGGGGCCTTCGGTGGAGCTCCCTATGGGGCCACGAAACGCTGTACTGAGTGGGGGGGACGCATGTGGACGGTGGCACTGGGGCCTTCGGTGGAGCTCCCTATGGGGCCACGAAACGCTGTACTGAGTGGGGGGGGGACGCATGTGGACGGTGGCACTGGGGCCTTCGGTGGAGCTCCCTATGGGGCCACGAAGCGCTGTACTGAGTGGGGGGGACGCAGTGGACGGTGGCACTCGGGCCTTCGGTGGAGCTCCCTATGGGGCCACGAAACGCTGCACTGAGTGCGGGGACGCGTGTGGACGGTGGCACTGGGGCCTTCGGTGGAGCTCCCTGTGGGGCCACGAGACGCTGTACTGAGTGGGGGGACGCATGTGGACGGTGGCACTGGGGCCTTCGGTGGAGCTCCCTATGGGGCCACGAAGCGCTGTACTGAGTGGGGGGGACGCATGTGGACGGTGGCACTGGGGCCTTCGGTGGAGCTCCCTATGGGGCCACGAATCGCTGTACTGGGTGGGGGGGGGGGCGCATGCGGACGGTAGCGTGGGGAGGGGAGGAGGAGGAGAGGAGAGGAACGCGGGGCACCGTCTCTTCAAAACGAGGGCCCAACACCACAAGGTGGTCGGGAAAAACACGCACGAAGCCGAACAGTGCACGGGAGATGGACGGCCGAGCGGCGGCAAGACCGTCGACCTCATGCAGAAATCGTCACGTCGGGGGCCTGGGCTCGTCGTGGACAGGGGCGCGACGATTTTTTTATTGTGTCTTCCCAGCCCCGTCCTCCCACCACGGTAATTGTCTTTCTCAGGAGCTGGTCCCAGTGGAGGGTTCCAGACCTCCTGTCCGAGGCGGGGGGGGATTCAGAATCGCCAGGGAGCTCCAACCCTTCCAAATACGTTGCCCCCCCCTCTGTTTCAAAATAGAGCGATGTGCTCTGCTGATGTGCATGTTCTTGGAGCGGGCCCAAGTTCTTCAGGATCCCCTTCGGGCACCAAAGGTGTGCCTTTCTTCGCCCCGCACATATTCACACCTCAGCTTCTCGACTCCCACAGGGTTACGTCGGGCATGTCCCTCTGCAGGAGGAACTTTCCAGCAGCAAAACATAGTATGGCAACGACGTTTCGTGCTTGTTTGACTCTGTTCGTTTTTTTTGTTTGACTGTTTCTTCTCTTTCTTCCACAATCCTCCTGGAGGCCATGCTCGACCTGACCGAGGGGTGCCGCAGCCTGCAGGCGAGCGCCGTCTGCAGCCGGGGGGCCCCGGGGCTCCACGCGTGGTGCGCGGCTGCGCGGCGCGCGGGCCGCGGGCTCGACCCGCGGCTCGGGCTGCGGTCCCGGGCGTGCTCCGGCCGAGAAGACAGCACGGCGAAGTGCTTTTGGCCGCCTGCGGCGTCTGGGAGCCCGCGCCGAGCCCCGAGGCCGTCAACAAATCGGCTCGGGAGAGAGGGTCAGGACTTCGGGCGCATTGACAGGTCAGGACGTCGCATATCTGTGACTGCGGCTGGGGCACCGGTTTGGGATGCGGTTTCCCATGGGTTGGGAGGCGGCGAGTACGGGTGCATTCGTGCACTGGAAGGAGGCCAAGAGACATACACACATACACACACCCACACACCCACACTTTCATACATTCACGCGGTCACAGACACAGACACAGACACAGACACAGACACACACAGACACAGACACACACACAGACACACACACACAAACACAGACACAGACACAGACACACACAGACACAGACACACACACAGACACAGACACAGACACAGACACAGACACAGACACAGACACAGACACAGACACAGACACACACACAGACACAGACACAGACACAGACACAGACACAGACACAGACACAGACACAGACACACACACAGACACAGACACACACACACAGACACAGACACAGACACAGACACAGACACAGACACAGACACACACACACACACACACACACACGCGCACACAATATTCACAAGTGCATATAGCATAGCTCGTCCGCGCGTTGTTTGAAACTCTGGCGTCTTCTCATGTCCGTAATTTCGTGGAGAAGCTCGCCTGCCACAGGTCGACCGACTTTCTTCTGGATGCGTCCGACGCTTCCGAGGTGCAAGCTCCGCTGCAGATGTAAGTGATGGCGCCGCGCCTCGAAAAGGGCAACGGCCTGATTGAGCGTGCCGGCAGCAGGCATGCAAACTGCCTGCGGGCTGCCTCTTCCCAAAGATCCGACGCCTCAAAACGTCGGGACACAGTGCAAACATCACGGTTGCAGCCCTCCGGGCTAGGAAAAAGTCGAGACGCCAGGACCCCAGGGCTCCTCAAACGCAGGGGAACGAGGCATGACAGGAGCATAAAAACTCGGAGGTCCGCGCGGATTTCTCGGATCGGCGCGGTGGGCCCCCCTCCCTGGCGCGCGGAGGCGCCGCCAGGGGCGGCGCCGGAGGCGCCGTCAAGGGGGGTCCAGCGCGGATCCGAGAGATCCGCGCGCACCGCCGAATTGTTATGTTTACGTCCGTCTTCGCGCCCCCAAAACAGCCCCTGCCCTGGCCCTGGCACCCGAGTTAAAAAACCTATCCCAGAGCTATGTTCTACGTCTTGGTTTTGGGCGGTTTCGCTGAGTTTGTGAGGTTTTTATGCCTCCTGTGCTAAAAAAATAGCGCTCTGGAAGGTCAGGGGGCCGAGGGCTGCATCCTGGGTGGGGGGGGGCAGGGCGGGGGGGGGGGGGCAGGGCGGGCCCCCTGAAACAGCCCCTTGGGTGGGGGTCGCAGGGCGGGGGGGGGGGGGGGGGGGCAGGGCGGGCAGGGGGGCAGGGGGGGCAGCCGAGGGCTGCATCCTGGCTGGGGGGGGGGCAGGGCGCCCCGGGCGCGGGCGCCTGGCCGAGGTACGGGCCCTCCCTGCCCTCGCTGCTGCCGATGCCGCCGGGGCTGCAGGCGCACGCGCCCCGCGGCGGCCCGGGAGCGGCGGCCCTGCCTTGGGGGACCAGCGTCGCGTCGGGCCCGTCTCTCTGCAGGATCGTCCAGGAGAGTCGGGGGGCGATATGTTCAGTATTCGTCGTATTTTGGGAGTCTTTTCTTGGTATGTGTTGCTCTTGGCAGTTTCTGTTTTTCGTCCACAGCCGCCTGTCTTTCTACGGGATCGTCCACAAGAGTCGGGGGGGCGATCTTTCTAGTATTTTTTGTATGATGTTTGCAGTCTCTTCTTGGTGGTGTTTGTTCTTCGTCCACAATCCGCCCGTAGGAGGACACGCCCGACCTAGGACTGCCCAGATGGTCTGGTACCGGAGATTTTCGGTAGCGATTTCGACGCACCCCGAATTTCGGTAGCGACCGGATCTTCGTTTGAGGGCGTGGAAATAGCGGGTTTCAGAACGCTCTGATACCGGTATTGGGCGCTACATTTCGGTATTTCGGTAGCGACCGATCTCTGCGGAGCGCTACCGGAAATTTTCGGTAGCGGACCATCAGGGTGGGATACGCCGCCAGCGGCGCTGTCCCCCCTGCGGGAAGCGGGTCCCGAGGGGCCCGGGCTCCGCGGCTTCTCGCCGCCTTCGGGCTCTCGGGGCCCTCCACGGGCCCCGGGGCGGCCAGAAGACGGCCCCAGATGGAGATCTCCCCTGACCTTCCAGAGAGCTATTCTTTGGCACTGGAGACCTAAAAACCTAAAAAGCTGAGCGAAGCAGCCTAAAACCAAGACGTAAGAATAGCTCTGGGATAGGTTTTTGCGCCGGGTGCTATGTTTTAGCCCTCCTGGACGGTCAGGGTCGTCCTGGGGGCAGCCCCCATGGGCCCAGGACCCAGTTCCCTCGGGACCCGCTGATCCCCCATGCCGAGCCGGCCAGGCCCATCCTGGCCCGGGCCGGGGAAGCCCGTGCACCGGCCAGGGGCCCACGGGATGTGCTGGCCAGGGCCGCTGGCGGCGTGTGGCTGCTGGTTGCCAGCCTGCGCCTTGTCCGGCTCCCGCTCCAGCTCTCGCTGCCGCTCCTGCTGGGCCTGCCCTCCGCCAACATCACCAGAAGTTGGAGGGGGGAAGGAGGTGGAGGATGGAGGAGGAGGACGAGGAGGCAGAAGAGGGGGAAGGACGACCCCCGTCCCCCCCCCCAACTTGTGGTGGTGGTGGTGGCGAAGAACAGGCCCATCAGCCCATCAGCGCCCCTTCCCGCACCCACTTCCGCTTCCATGCGCGATCCTGCTCCCGCTCCCGCCCCTTCCCTTGCTGCTCCTCGTGCTCCCGCGCTCCAGCTCCCGCCCTCTGCTCCCGCTCCCGCGCGCCCCCTCACTGCTCCCCGGCCCTGCTCCAGCCTCCCCCTCACTGCTCCTGCACCGGTTTACCAGTTTGAAGCACAACCCTATCCTTGTGTTTGGCACCACCTCGCCTCGATGCCCATCTCAAGGGTCCCCTCGGCCTCTGAGGGCACATCCCCAAGGTTGTCGTCGCCTTTTGCTTGCCCATCGTGGGGGCAGGGATGGGTTCGAGGCCGCTTACCTGTCCCCCCCCGCTCCTGCATCATCACCCCTCTCGCCCCGCAACTTGGGCCGCTGCTGCCGCAACTGCGGCTATCGCTGCTGCTGCTGCTTCTCCTTCCGGCGTCTCCGCCACGGATCCGACGGCCGCAAGCTTTGGGGCGTGGCTCTCGCCCCTCCCGGTAATCGGACGCCCCATGCAGCTCCTGCGTGCCGAGGTCTCGCTCCGCCGCGGGTCGAAGTCGGGCACACCGCGCCCGCCTTGGCGGCCGCGGTCGCTGGCGGCAGCATTCGGGCCCCTCCCCCCCCCCCCGGGGAGCCCACCGCGAAGTCCGGCCAGACCACCAGCAGAGCCGTCGAGGCACGCACCCTGACCTTCCAGGAGGGCTGAAAGATGGCACGCGACTTACAAACCCTATCCCAAAGCCATTCTGCGTCTTGATCTCGGGCTGTTTCGCTCAGCCTTTTAGGTTTCTGGGCCTCCAGTGCTAACAAAAATAGCCCTCTGGAAGGTCAGGGGGGGGAGCCCACCGCGAAGTCCGGCCAGACCACCCGCAGAGCCGTCGAGGCACGCTGCAGGCCCCAGCAGGCGCCTGCCCGAGGCGCTCCGTACGAGCCCGGCCTCCCGCGGGGGTGGTCGGAGCCGGTCGGCGCCCGGCGCCTGACGGGCCGTCCCGACGAGGGTGTCCTGCTTCGGGGTGGTGGTGGTAAGGCATTGGTTCTGCTGTAGCGAGCCCCCGGTGTAGTGGGGGGATCCCTGCTCACCCCCGTGGGGTAGTCGACCACTCCGCGCTCGCGAGCACGGAGTAGTCGACTATACCTGCGCTCCCTCGCCGCCCCCCCGAAAGGGGCGCGGCGGGTGAGCGCGAAGATGGCCGCGCACAGCGCAGACTGCTCTCGTGACGGTTTCGTCGCTGCGGGCTGGCTCGGGGTTGACGCAGAGAAGAGGAATAGCACGTAGAATAGCACCAGCAGGAAAATAATGATACAAATGCTACGAATAATAAAATTAATAAACATAATACACATCCATGAAACTTTCGGAGCTCCGCGCAGATTGCTTGGATCGGCGTTGGGCCCCCCTGGCGGCGCCTCCAGCGCCGCCCCTGGCGCGCTCCTCGCGCCAGGGAGGGGGGTCCAACACCGATCCAAGAAACCCGCGCGGAGCACTGACAGTTTACTGTTTGTGTAGATGTCTATTCTGAAAGCGATTGCGCAGAACGATGACCGATGGTGAGTCAGGCTCCGTCGTTTTATACTCGACGGCGCGCGCGCTCGCGCTCCGTGACTGGCCTGGACATCGAGACAGTACAGCGCCGAGTAGAGCGCCACATGGTTAAGCCCCTAGGGGTGCACGGGACAGGGAGGGAGGGACCGAGAGATCCTGGGCCTCTCGCGCTGTGAACGAAGTCACCATGGCAGGCTTCTGGCGATTCTCGGCCTCTAGGAGCCCTCACCTGGCCCCATGGCCGGTCAAAACTGTAGCCCGGGACGAGAAGCCGGTCGCCGAGCAGGGGTCCAGACCTTCCCACGCTGTGTGAAGAGATCGTGACGTCGGGGGGTGTCCTGGGTCTGGGAGGGGTGGGTGCACGGGAAGGGGAGGGAGGGATTTCAGAGGTTCTTAAGCAAGAACGCCAGGGGCGTGCTATTCCGTTCCCAAGATCGAGTTTTGTGTGTGTGTGTGTGTGTGTGTGTGTGTGTGTGTGTGTGTGTGTGTGTGTGTGTGTGTGTGTTGGGGGGATGTTTCTCTTTTTGGGGGATTGTCATCTCGCCATTTTCGATTCGTTTCGCGATCCGTCTCCAATCGTCTTGACTTGCATGTGTTGTTATGTTTTCGTTCATGTTAACTGCTTTCTGTTTTGGGTTGCCGTTTTTTTCTGTTTCGGGTTGCCGTTCTCCGCTCGTTTTGGACCCAGCAGGTGTCTGGTTTGTTTTGTTTTGCGTTGTTTTTTTATGTCTTGCCTTGTTTGGGTTAATCGCAGCACGAACGATTGTAACTGGCCCCCCCAAAATGCCCCCAGCGTCTTTGTGAACAACTGCGGGAGGTGCTTGGCCTCCGTAGGACCAGGACTGCTGCCACGAGCCTCTGGGTCACCGGGCCAGGCCTCCCTATTCCCCCGTTGAAGTTCCCCCTCCCGTCTCCCCGGGACCTCAAACGTCGTGATTTTGTGATCTTCTCAAGACGTGCCCCACCGCTCTCGACGCCCTCCCAGTGACCGTTGTCCCAGACCCCCGTCGCCATATGCGTCGACTCCTGCAGGTCTCGAACCATTCCCTCGGGCAGGCTTCGCGTCGCGAGGGCCGCCGGAGGAAGAATGCATGACACCGTCCGCCGTGACCTTTTTCACGACGCGAGGGGACGCGGGTTTTTCCTCCCGCGTCGTCTCCCGATGGCCCCGGAAGGCGCGTCCACCGCCGCAGCAGCAGCGGCGGAGCCCGCTCTCGCCGCGGTTGGTGGCTCGGCGCGCCTCGACCTGGCGAGCCGACGCAGCGACACGGCTGCAACGTCGTGGACATCGCGCCTGGGGCCCTGGCGTTGCTAGCCGGATCGGTCCGTGAGGGGCCCTGGGCCCCGGACCCGGCGAGAGCGCCCGGCGACCTCGAGAGGCCAGATTTGGGTCGCGCGGGGCTCGGGAGCCGCTCGCGGCCCTGGAGGTGCCTGATACCTCTTGGCTGAGCCGCGTTCGGGAAGCCCGCCGACAGAATTCGGCACAGGGGGAGGAGGGGGAGGAGGAGGAGGAGGAGGGGGAAGAGGGGGAGGAGGAGGAGGAGGAGGAGGAGGGGGAAGAGGGGGAGGAGGGAGAGGGGAGGAGGAGGAGGAGGAGGAGGAGGAGGAGGGGAGGAGGAGGAGGAGGAGGAGGAGGGGAAGAGGGGGAGGAGGAGGAGGGGAGGAGGAGGAGGAGGAGGAGGAGGAGGAGGAGGGAGGAGGAGGAGGAGGAGGAGGAGGAGGAGGAGGAGGAGGACACAAGGAAGTTGCCAGGATCTCAGGGTGGGTGGGTCGGCGCGCTTCGACCGTGCCCCCGGACGCTCCGCCGGAGCGCCGGAGCGCCCGCGGGAGGTCCACGGCGACAGGGACGGCCGCATCGTCCCCGTGCGCTGGGGCTCGCCCGCGCTCCCCCACGAGCTGCAGCTCATGTCCTACGGCTACCTCAGGCCCGGAGCGCGCGGCGTCGCAGCCGTTGGCGCCGTGAAAAGAATATACCTACGGGCGGTTTTTGGACGTTTTCGGCCTCTATCACCACCCACCAAATCACCCCAACCCAACCCGAAGGCCTCAATCACCCTCCATTTCCAGTGGGGGGGGGTGTCGGGGAACAGTGAAAAAACACAGATGGAACCCTTAACCCCCCCAACCCGAAATTCGGGTTTTCGGGTTGGGTTGGGGTGGTCTGGTGGGTACACTCTAGATCCCCTCGCCGGGCCTCGGGGCCGTCACAGAATTACCCGGGATTAGAATCCCCCGCGAGCTGCAGCTCATGTCCTACGGCTACCTCAGGCCAGGAGCGCGCGGCGTCTCAGACGTTGGCGTCGTGAATCTAGGCCTCCCAGTTGGGGTCCGAGTTGATGGGGTCGGAGGATCGCTGGGCATCGTCGATGCATCGGCGATGCGGCTCGATGCCGAGCCCAATTTTCTCCACGCCGACGGCGCCGATGTATTGCCGACGTCGCCGATGCATCGCCGATATATCGGCGAAGTATCGGCGATGCGGCGCGATCCTCGGACCCCATCTACTCGGATCCCATCTAGGAAGGCCTCTCGTGAGAAAATCACGACGAGCAGTTTTTGGCCGTTTTCGGCCTCCAGAGGCCCTCGCCAGGCTTCGGTGCCATCAACAAAGCCACTCGGGGTTTAAGTCTGGCCCTGGGGAAATGATCGGGACTTCTGTGGACCGCGTATAGAAAAACAAGACATCGCATACTTGCCTGGAACTTGTTATTCACTGGGTTGTATCGGTTTGCTTCGGGAACGAGGGCCATCTGATTTCGATCCGGCTCGAAAAATGCAGCAGAAGGATTGGGTTTGGGTCTCCGGTTTCGATGTTCTGCGATGTGGTATTTTTTGTTCCGCAACGTTGGATCTCAGGGAACGTGTTTCTGACCCTCCCGGGCTCGAGAGGCCTCTGGAGGCGGAAACCTCTGGAGACCCTTGGGTATATCCGTGGCGATTTCCAGAGACCTCCGCCTGACCCATTTTCGGGGGAGAGAGGAGAGCGGTATTCATAGTGAGTAAGTATGGAGGACGGGGCAAAGCAGACGGAGGGACTTGGGAGAGAGACGGGAAGGGAGTGGTGGGCAATGAACCATGGAGGATGAGGCATAGGAGGGTGATGAAGACCAGGACGAGCAGGGTTATTATGAAAAGCAGGAGGAGACATACGGACCAACGAATGCAGGGAGATGTTCGAAGCATCTCTTCAGCTGTCTTTGAGACCTTTTGTTATTTCTGCCCGTGCGCACACGTACGATTACTCGAGTAATCATGCGGCTCCTTCGGTTCCTGCCCACTTTGCTACGCATGTCTTCTGTAGCAGCCCAATCCGCTTAGCTTAAACAAAGAGGCTCGGAACGTGAATTTGTTGAAAGGGTCGCAAGAGCGTTCCGAAAGGTGTGGTCGCCCTTTTGGAGCCTTCTTGGGGCCCTCTTGAAAACCTCCTGGGGCCCTGTTTGGAACCCTCAGGCCCTTTTGGAACGATCCTGGAGCGACCTAGAACCGTTATTAATCACCGGACAGCTCGCCCCTTGGCCCCCCGCCAGCCCCACGCCAAGGGGCGAGCATATATACGGGCGCAGCACCTCGCTGGAGGCGTAGCCGTCGGCTGGGCCGACCATGCAGATGATGCATCGCGTGGCGGCTGGATGCCCGCGCCGAGCACAGAGCTCTTCTCGGTTCCTCCCTCCTCTTCCTCCTCCTCCTCCTCTCCACCTCCTCCTCCTCCTCCTACGACTCCTCCACTTCCACCTCCTCCTCCCTTCTGCCGCCTCCTCATCCCGTCCGCGTCCTCCGCCCTCGAGCTGATCTCCCCCCCCCGTCGTCCATTTTCAATGAAATCCTCCTCCCGCCGCCTCTTGCCTTGTCCTCCGCCTCCTTCCTCCTCGTCGGCCTCCTCGTCCAGCGCCTTCCTCTTCCCCTTGCCACTCTCCTTGCGAGCACCCTTTCCACGATCTCCGTGCCCTCCTTCCACCCCTCCTCCTCCCTCGTCCTCCTTCCATCGCCTCATCCCCGCCGTCATAATCCTCATCGTCATCATCCTCATCCTCATCCTCATCCTCATCCTCATCATCATCATCATCATCATCATCATCATCGTCCTCCTCAGCATCAGCACCATGATCATCATGATCATCATCATCATCATCATCATCATCATCATCATCATCATCATCATCATCATCATCATCATCATCCTGCTCCTCCTCCTCCTCCTCCTGCTCCTGCCCCCTCCTCTTCGTCGTGGGTGCCATCTCTGCTCAAACTGCACAAGCCGCCCCCGTGCGAGAGCCCTTCCGCACTCTCCCGGTAGAAATTATGGTAGAAATGGCACCGGCCGTCGCCGCCACGATGATTGCGCAGCGTTTCCACCCTAGAAAGTGCTCACAGTTCCGCAGTGAAGTCAGGCAGTGACAATTGCTCAGCTGCTGTTTCGGCCAAGCCGCCGATCGTGTCCAGCACAGCTGCTTCGGGAGACTCCCGTTTCAGCAACAGCTCTGCAAGGACCGACTGAAAATGTCGAAGCGCATTGGCTTCGAGCGGTGGCCATTTCGCAGCTTCGTATTCTTTCCGTGCCAACAAAGACCGGCTCTGGTTGATCTTGGCCAACCGGTCGAAATTCAAGCCACGTTCCAAAGCAAGACCAGTCAAGGCAGGCACCCGAGACAAGACGGTAAACGTACCGCCCAGATGCATTTCCGTGTCGCCCAAGTTTGCAGCAACACAAGGAATTGTCATGCCCTGGGACTTGTGCATCGTGGCTTAAAACTGCCACCCGAAATATCCTCACCCGCTGGCTTAAAACTGCCACCGAAATATCCTCACCCGAGATATACTCACCCGCTGGCCTAAAACTGCCACCCGAGATATCCTCACCCGCTGGCTTAAAACTGCCACCGAAATATCCTCACCCGCTGGCTTAAAACTGCCACCGAAATATCCTCACCCGCTGGCTTAAAACTGCCACCCGAGATATCCTCACCCGCTGGCTTAAAACTGCCACGCGAAATATCCTCACCCGCTGGCTTAAAACTGCCACCCGAAATATCCTCACCCGTTGGCTTAAAACTGCCACCAAAATATCCTCACCCGAGATATCCTCACCCGCTGGCTTAAAACTTCCACCGAAATATCCTCACCCGCTGGCTTAAAACTGCCACCCGAGATATCCTCACCCGCTGGCTTAAAACTGCCACCCGAGATATCCTCACCCGCTGGCTTAAACCTGCCACCCGAGATATCCTCACCCGCTGGCATAAAACTGCCACCCGAAATATCCTCATCCGAAATATCTTCACCCGCTGGCTTAAAACTGCCACGCGAGATATCCTCACCCGCTGGCGTAAAACTGCCACGCGAAATATCCTCACCCGCTGGCTAAAACTGCCACCGAAATATCCTCACCCGAGATATGCTCACCCGCTGGCTTAAAACTGCCACCGAAACATCCTCACCCGCTGGCGCTTAAAACTGCCACCCGAAATATCCTCTCACCCGCTGGCTTAAAACTGCCACCAAATATCCTCACCCGTGGGCCACTGCCACCAAAATATCCTCACCCGAGATATCCTCACCCGCTGGCTTAAAACTTCCACCGAAATATCCTCACCCGCTGGCTTAAAACTGCCACCCGGATATCCTCACCCGCTGGCTTAAACCTGCCACCCGAGATATCCTCACCCGCTGGCTTAAAACTGCCACCCGAAATATCCTCATCCGAAATATCTTCACCCGCTGGCTTAAAACTGCCACGCGAGATATCCTCACCCGCTGGCGTAAAACTGCCACCCGAAATATCCTCACCCGCTGGCGTAAAACTGCCACCGAAATATCCTCACCCGAGATATCCTCACCCGCTGGCTTAAAACTGCCACCGAAACATCCTCACCCGCTGGCGCTTAAAACTGCCACCGAAATATCCTCACCCGCTGGCTTAAAACTGCCACCGAAATATGCTCACCAGCTGGCTTAAAACTGCCACCCGAAATATCCTCACCCGCTGGCTTAAAACTGCCACCCAAATATTCTCACCCGCTGGCTTAAAACTGCCACCCGAGATATCCTCACCCGCTGGCTTAAAACTGCCACCCGAGATATCCTCACCCGCTGGCTTAAACCTGCCACCCGAAATATCCTCACCCGCTGGCTTAAAACAGCCACCCGAAATATCCTCATCCGAAATATCTTCACCCGCTGGCTTAAAACTGCCACGCGAGATATCCTCACCCGCTGGCTTAAACCTGCCACCCGAAATATCCTCACCCGCTGGCGTAAAACTGCCACCGAAATATCCTCACCCGAGATATCCTCACCCGCTGGCTTAAAACTGCCACCGAAACATCCTCACCCGCTGGCGCTTAAAACTGCCACCGAAATATCCTCACCCGCTGGCTTAAAACTGCCACCGAAATATGCTCACCAGCTGGCTTAAAACTGCCACCCGAAATATCCTCACCCGCGGAAATAAAACTGCCATCTAACGGCCTGGTGGTTCAGTTCAGTCTGTCAGTGTCTACCTCGCGAGAATCAAATTACGGGCTGCGCCCGTAAAACAATTCGGACCTCCCTGGAGCCTCTCAAGGAGTTTATTTGGGGCATGGTTTGTGGTTGCAAGCAAGGGGGAGGCAGAAGGAGGGGGTGCGAGGAAGGAGAGGTAGAAGTAGCAGGAGGAGGAGGAGGAGGAGGAGGAGGAGGAGGAAGAGGGGGAGGAGAATAGTAATAACAATCCGATTAACAATCATAATAATAATATTAATAATAATGAACAGAAGGAGTCGGAGTTTAGGGCCAACCTGCGGATTGACGTGGGTAGTTTGGCCTTGGGCGGCTCATCTCCCTCCTTCCCCTTGTATCAGTTTCAGATACTTTCTCTTCCGTCCTCAAGCCTTTCCATGGTTTGCTTAGCCCTTTCCTCTCTTCTTGGCATCGCTCGGAGATGTGCATTGTTCCTCGGCGAGGAGCATCCTGGATCATCCAGCAAACAAAGCACGCACGAAACCGATGCATGCACGGGGAATGGACGTCCGAGCGATAGCGAGTCCTCGTCCTTTTCATATTATCCTCCTTCTCCTCCTCCTCCTCATCATCATCATTCCTCCTACTATTTGTCCTTGCCCCCTTCGCCGATCGCGCTGCAGTTGCAAGCAGGAAGCCAGGCACCGATTCCACGCGTGATCACGCAAGGCAACATGGCCCGGTACTCCGAAAGCATCGGTCGGCCACGCACCCAGGGCCAGTGTAAGACGGGTCGCCTCACCTTGTCACATACATGCGGAACGGCATGGCAAAGACAATCAGGTACATAATGATAATCTTAAGCGCGCTGTTTTCGCACATCGCTCTTGTGTATTGCCGTGGCGCATGAACGTGACACATTGCACCCTAGCGTTTCGCAGCTACTGGCCCAGGAGCCTGGAAACCAGGGAACCCGACCACTTACCAACATCTCAGGAACCTTGGAACCCTGGAACACGGTGCCTACCGAAGGCCGCAGGACAGTTTTGCCAACTCTCCCACTCTCCGCAGGGACCCTGTTAGTGCAATGCGCTGGTTGTGGAACATGGGTAAGCCTGGCTGTGGTCGGCCCCACTGTGTGGGTGAAGTCTGGCTGGGGGGCCAACGACATTCTTACCTACTGCCTCGGCCCACAGGATACAGGCCTCGGAAAAAATAGCCAACACTCATGCCACATTCATCTGTGAACGCCTCACCCTCCCCCCAATGTTCAAAGTTGGCGGTGGGTCTGCTGAGTTGCACCTCGACCGCAGTCTCCCCCCCCGCGTGCCAACCTTGAGTTTGGGGGGCAGGGGGGTTCACTAATCGTTTCCCTCTACCGTATCGGCCCTCCGGCCGGTGGACACGGACACGTTCCACCGCCCTCGACGCAGCACGGAGGTTCCCGCACGTCTGGCTCGGCTTCCTGGAGCCGCCAGCCCCCGCACGTCTCGCGCTCCCCTTCCCCAGGGGGGACCGTTCGGGGGGCTTCGAGTTCGGGATCGAGTCGATAATCGATTTACCCTAGTCTTGGTGTTCTCGTCGAATGTACAGTTGCAAGTCGTAGTCTGTTCGCAGATCTACGGGCACGCAGCGAATTTCCCACAAAGTTGACGAGCAACTCAAATTGGGGGGGTACATCAATTTTGTAGTCGATCCCCTTCTCGAGGCATGGGCCCCTAGAGGCTGGAGTTGGCGTGGAGTATTTCTGGCAGGCCCCCTCCCCGGTGCGGGCAGGGGCCTGGCAGCAGCGCAGCAGCGCGCTTGTGCACGTCCGACGATTCTGTTACGTTTGTCTGTATGTTCCCTGGCCTCATCCGAATCGCGTTCTTCCCCCCCGGCCACCTCCCCCATTAGTGGCTGTCTTTTAACTTGTCGCTTCGCCGATCGGCGCCGGCCCCTGTCCCTGCCCCTGCCCCCCTCCCCCCTCTTCCCACCATAGAGATCAGATCTTGGGCTGCCTTTGGCAGCTGCTTTTGGCGACTGGGCAGGACCCCACCCCCTTGGCCCAGTCTGCTTGCGCGACGAGTGGAAACAGATCGACTAAGCACCAGCCCAGACCCAGTGCTTGCCCTCTTTTGCCTCACTCCGCAATCCCTGCTCCATCCCACCCACCTAAATACACACGCACACCGATGTATGTATGTATGTATGTATGTATGTATGTATGTATGTATGTATGTATATATATATAGATCTGCACACCTAGCATATAACTTTAGTTGACGATGATATCGCGTCGGCGGGGGGGGGGAGGGTGTAGCTTTCGGTTTGCGACTGGCGTCGAATGTGATTCGTTGTCTGTACATCGATGGATCTCTAGGTGACTCTACACAACTGCATGTTTCACGCACAGGTCTAGCTGAACACGCATATATGCATATATGACGTTCTTTGAGGTGATTTGTGCCTCGCCTTTTGATTGAGCACGACCGTACGCTGTATGTGCTCAAGTTTTTCCGGCAGGAGTCACGTTCGCGCATGGCCGCTCCCATGAATCTGGTCGGGATTGGCGCACACCTCGCGGAGATCTGGCTGCTGCGAGGTCACCCCTGCCCCTCCTGCCCGCCGTGCCCAGCGCAGACCTGCTCGCTCACGTGCCGCGGGCCCGCCACAACCCACACCGAGCCGTTCGAGGCTCACACGCCAGACGGGCCCGGCTGGGGCGCCGTGTGGCTGGCCGCTGCGCTGTGGGCTGCGCTCTCCTGGGGCGTGGGGCGCTTCTGGCCGCGGCCTGACAGGCGGCCCGCCGAGCCGGCGCCGCTGCCGCCGCCCCCGATCGCCGCGCCTGGCGCGACAGGGCTGGTGACGCGCAGCCAGCTCGCCCAGCAGGCGTGAGAGGGCCATGGCGCACCTCACCCTCGACCTGTCCGAGCCGCAGGTGCTGATCGACTATCCTGACGATGCAGCGGGCCTGCGGTGGCATCATAGATTGCTGCTCATTCACGTGAGCCTAGGCGTGTGGATAGCGAGCACGCCCGGCTACTCGGTTCAAAGGCTCGCTTCGAACGCCTTCCGCGTGGTCGCGCTGGGGCGCAACAGCCCCTATCCATTCGCTGGGTGGCACGCGACCTACGCGTTCGACAACCCCGTGCCTGCCGACGACCTGGCGCGTGTTCGGCAGCAGGCGGCCTCGCTCGCTCTCGTCTTGGGCGTGGCGGCGCCTGCGGCTCAGGTCCTTGGAGCTGGCGCCGGAGTCTGGCGGGTCGCTGACCCTTCCGCTCGCAGTTTTGGCGACGAGGTGCCGAGTCAGATTCTCTCGGGCGCGACTGCCTTCATGACGCCCGACGCCGCTGGCGATGAGGATTACATCAGCGGGCTGGTTCTGATCGACAATTGCTGGACCTTCAGCCAGCCCGCGAACGACGATGATAGAGACCCTTGGGAGCGCGCGCTGGTTTCGGGCCACAAGCGAGACTCTCGGGTCACTGGAAACGTCAGGGACCCGATCACAGGACAGCGCCTTGTCCTTCACCGAGTCGCTGGGCCTGCATCACACCGCCCCTCAGCCACCATTTCCGCTGGGGGGGGCAGCGGGTGGCGCATGAGTTCATGCGGAACCTGCGCGCGACGGGCATGGAGTGGGTCACCCACCATTTGGACTTCGTTCACAAGTCGGGCATCTCGCCCAACAGCAATACCGTCGTGCGCACCGTCGGAACACCGACGCCCTGCGCGCCATCCAGCAGCAGGACCAGCTGAACCTCCCGAGCCTCGCAGGCGTTGACGTTCTTGTGCGGTACCTGGTGCAGATCGAGATGGCGGCGGGCCGCGACCCTCGGAGTCCAGACTTCCAGGACCTCGACGCTGTGGTCGCGTCCACCGTCAACGAGTACGGCGGCCTAGTCCTGCCGGAGTATTCGAAGTACATCGCGCAGATCCAGAAGGACGAGGCCTTCACGCTGAAGCAGCAGCGGCAGTGGCGCGAGGAGCAGACCTCACGCGCTCGAGGCCGCGGTTCGGGCGGCGGCGAGGATGGGGGCGGCGGCGTTGGCGGCGAGGGGGGAGGCGGCGGCGGCGGTCGCGGTCGAGGCCGCGTGCGAGGACGTGATGGCGGACGAGGACGCGGCGGTCGAGGTGGCCCCTCGGCCGCCGCCGACGGATGACTCCCGTCGCTCGGGCTGCGGAGAGGCGGCGCTCACCCCGGCGTCGCTTGGCCAACGATACCTCCGCAGTCCGATTCTTTGGGGGTCGGACGAGGGGCCCTGCTGCCGAAGGGGTTCCTCGATTTTTGACAGGTCGCGCCCGCGGCGACCCTTTCCCTCTGCCGCTGCTGGGCAGAACGACGCCGACGGGGGTGCTGCCTTCGAGTATCTCGTCTGGCGCGCGGGGCGGTGCAACCAGGCCATCATGGCGTTGAACGACCTGGGCGCGCCGCTGGCGGCAGCGCAGCGTCTCGCCTCGGTCTTGCCGGCGAACGCCGCCCAAGCATCAGTTCTGCAGCGTGTTCATCAGCGAGCGGCCGCTTTCGGTGATCCGATCGGCGTGGACGGTGATGAAGCGCTTCTGACCCATCTGAAGTCCAAGGACATTCGCGGCGTTCGACCGACCCCAGCTCGGTCCTACGAGCCGCACCTTCTCAAGGTTCTCGACAGCGGCATTCGGCCACTACCCATCCGCTCGCTGGTGCCTGCCTCGCTGCTGCCGCTGATCGAGCAGCCGGAGCGGTGCGTGTGCCGCTCGCAAGCCGTCCTCGACACCATGGCCGAGGCTGGCGAGCTGCCTTCAGTGTACCCGTTCTGGGACGTCAACCTGCGCTGCGACCCGACCTTGCGCCTCGACATCTTCAAGAAGCTCATGCGCGTCGGCCTGGTAGGCGTACGCGCGCGCTGCCGCGCTCGCGCCAGCATTTGCTTCGATGGCAAGAAAGACGGCACGCTTCGGATGGTGATTGACGGTAGGGAGCCATCGGCTATGCACCGCCGGCCTCCTCGCACTGAGCTGGGGTCCGCGGCCGCCCTCAGCGGCCTCTGCCTTGACGGCGACTTGCTGGCGACCGCGACTCGGACTACCGCGGGGCTGGTGCTGACCTTCGCCAAGGGTTCTACCAGATG